ATGTTCGGTTTTGACAAAGAAGTATTTGTGCCAAAACTTGCGAGTTGCTCGGTCGTCTGTCCTGACCACCAACCCTTTCGTGCCACGGTGACTCAAATGCACCATGGTACCTCTGTGGAAGCTAGGAGAAAACAGGTGCAAAAGGTGGTAGATAGAAACATTACATTCCACCAAATCCGCATACTTGGTCAATAGTAGGAGCACCTTAAGGGTATACGGTGAAAGTTGTGCCGGGCAAACTTGGTAGAACCTAAAGAACTCTTCTGCTAAGGGGAATAGAGGAAAAGTGTGGCCAATCACGAAAGGGTACTCATAGAAAATGCAGTATCCAGGCCTGTGGACATCTACAAAATCTCTCCCCGTCGGAATCATATCAACGTGAGCAGGGATGCTATATTTTATACGAAGAGTGTCAAGGTGAAACTGCTCCATCTCAGAAAGTACGAGGGCAGGAGTAGGAGGGGGATCTTAGAGGAAGTCACTCCGAGACATGGGGTGTCTCGGTAATAACTCTTCCACCATAGGGGGACGGTCACCCTCTTCTACCACCGTATCTTCACCGCCTGAAGGGGGTGTCGTGGACAATGGGGTGGCCTCAAGAACCCCTTCACTAGAATGATGAGATCTTGTCATGATGTCGTTCAAAGCATTATCAATGCAAAAAAGGAGGAGGAAGAAGCTACAAATGAAGAACGTAAAAAGAAGAAGCAGGAATGTATGAGAGCAAGCTCAGAGGAATAAGAGAAGTTATCAGGAGTGAAATGGCCAAGAACTTTCGAAGAAACAAACCATTCACCTATTTATAGGGTTGGGTGGTGCCAGAACCGAAGCGGAGGGTCACAGAGTAGCACTGGAATCGAAGCATCAAGACATCAACTCCTGCCTCGAAAACATGCGTAATGATGACGCACGTGAAGATGACGTCATTTCCTGGTAAAGTGTATTACCCGGTGTCTTTCTAAGCACGCTGACCGTCCCCCATTGGCCACATCATAACGTCTCAACGGCTGAAATTTCTCCATAGGAGTGCATGATGTCCGTTCATCGAGGACGCATCCAGTTGTGACCCCGACAAGCGGAGGGACTAACTGTATGAGTCTAAATTTGACCAACCACGACCGACGATTGACGAGGTTTCCTTAAATCGATGTCCTGAGGGAGACAACCTTAAGACAAACAAGAAACTGGACGACCCTTGTAATAATGTAGGCCCATTAGGGGACATTAGGAATATTCCTTCGAATATTCCTTATAATTTGTCTTTTACTGCTTAGAAGAATCTCGTTCTTTATATATATAGAGGACAATAACCTTGTAGGGGGGATTCCGAATGTTGGCTACATTACTATTTGTGAATGAAAAGATTTCTAAAAGGCTTGGAGAAAAGTAGATCGTAAAAGAAGTCTTGTGATCTGTCTTCTCTTTATCTATCATTCTTTATAGAGATTATTATTCTCAGCTAAGATTTGCCCCTCCATCTTTGATTGATTTGTTCAAAAAGGTTTCAATATCTTTTGAGTCAAACAAGCAACTCAAAGGTGACTCATTAAGTTGTTGATACATGAGTAAGCAAAATCTACCTCATTGACTTTCTCAACACCATCTTTTTGTGGATAAAGGTTCAAGTTAGTTTTTGTGCATCTCGATTTTTTTATTAAGTAACTGCTACTTCGTGTTAGTATAGGTATCGAGTAACTCTACCCATCAAGACTTAGAGGGTATTTGGATTGGCTTATTTTAAGTGCTTATTAGCTTTTAAATATTTTTTAGTTTGTTTGGTGTTTGGCAATGATAAAAAAGTATTTAAAAGCACTTACTTTTAGGCATAAAAAGTACAAAAATAAGCCAAAAGCCAAAAGTTGGGTATTACCAACTTATGGCTTTTGGCTTTTAGCTTAAAAGCTATTTTTTATAAGTCAATCCAAACACCCTCTTAGAGCTTGTTTGGCCAAGCTTTTTGGAGGCTAAAAGTACTTTTTTCTCTCAAAAAAGTACTTTTCAAAAAATTTAAGCTATTTGGCCAAGACGGTAAAGTACTTTTGGCCAAAAGCAGAAGCAGTTTTTCTGCTTTTGGGAAGAAGCAGAAAATTCTAGCTTCTTCCAAGAAGTAGGAGCAGAAGTAGAAAATTAATACCTGCCCACGTACCGGCTCCCATACAACCAGTTGATGACACATTTCTTTTGCTTAAGGCTAGGCGTATAGATAGGTTTCTGGATCTCGAGATTAGTTTAATTTCTCTGGCTAGGAATAATAAAAAAATCTAGGAATAGCTGTAATTTGCAATTTTGATTTAAGCATTCTCCCGGTCCAGTTAAGTCTACCTATGGTATACCCTCCTAAGGAGTGGGGTGTTGTAGAACGACTTAAAGCGAGGGGAGAGGCGCTCGCAGGCCTGGGGTCTTTCGTTTCCAAAGAATGTGGATTCGGCATTCTGATTTTCACATTGATCTCAACCATACTCGGGAAATCCTTTTCAAGTCTTCTCCAGGAAGATTGACTCGACAAATAAAACACTGAATTGGCGAACTATTTCAGAATATAGAAATGCCGAAAACGAAGNGTTCTTTTTAACATCTCTTTCTATTCTTATAATGTAATGCTATCAGTCACCTCGTACTACCCCCATTGCGCATCCTGTGTAACATCAAGGAAAGGGAAGGCTCATACTACCGCGGCGGAAAGAAAAATCCCATTTGCCTAATACGTACTACTGTGCAGCAAATGATTTAGTTGTCGTTATTCCTCCACCAGCTTCTTCTTGGCATCAAGCCAGCCCTTATTCCTTGCATCAACAGGCAATCCCGTATAAAAGAAAGGCTACTGACTTGGCTGATTCAACAAGGGAAAAGGCATTATTCAAGACAAAATTATTCTCAACATAATTTTTTATTGTCCAAATTATTCCTTAATGATTTAAGTTTTTTCTTGTCATTTTTGTTTCTAGTTTTTACCACTCTTTCAAAATTAAAAAGATATCATATACATGAATCATATTGTAACTTTTCAAATTCTTTATTGACTTTTCTTGTTTTTCATTTTTTGTTTGTGTAATGTCTTGTAACTTTCTAATTTATCTTCTTCTTTTTTCATACTAAAGCAAATTACCTACATCCTTCTTTGGATTATCAATTCTCTTCCTACAAATAATCATTTATAATTTCTTCTATTATATGATATTAGTTTCCGAATCTTTAAAATATTTATCAAATCTAATTTGTGAAAATTGCCTACAAATAGGTAATAAATTTACAAAAGCATCGCATAATCTATCTATATTATTATTAAAAAAAGAAGAAAAAATATCTACATTAAGCCAAGTGACAGCCTCACAATAGGCCATTTGGCAATTTAGTACAAAGTTAGTTAGGTTAGGTAATAATTCTTTTTTGAATTTAAATTTTTAAAAAATGATATTATACATTATGTATCGTTAATAATTAGTTACTCTTTTGTATTTGAATTAAACCATACTTAACTTCTTTTTTTTTACGAAAATATTTTTTATATATATATATTTAAAATTATATTTCTATTTTACGCTTAATGCCATCTTTCAAGTTTGACACTCAGAATTATCTAGTTACAACTAGCATGACTATGCATAATTTCATCCGACAATATTCTTATACCGATAAGAAATTCAACTATTATGCTAATAAATACATTACTGCAAAGATTGAGGAAGGAAATAGGCTTTCTGGTATTCTTTTAGAAATGCAAGGCAAGTCTTCTACTAATATGGAGGCGTTGTGCGATAGAAATAGAGATGAAATTATTGAGAAGTGTTATCATATGTGAGTGACTTTATTTATTATTTCAAGGTGGATTATCAATATATAGTAATTTGTGGAATATACGTCTAATTCACATTGAATGATGTATTTTGATTATTCAAATCATCATGGAACAATAAGTAATAATACAAGATAATATTATGTGCTTTGATATAACTATATATGTAACATTATTTAAATCTTTAATATGTACGTTTACGTTATGTTTCATATTTTAATTAAATAAAATAAAAAATAATAAAAGTGTCTTAAGATAAATATTTAAGTTTATTTATTCTCTTTAAAATAATTATAAGACCTTTGTACTATCCTTTTTGGTAATTTGACACTCAAAAGCACTTTTTAGAAAGATTGGCCAAACACAATTTGTTTATCAAATGTTACAAAAAATACTTCTTAAATAAATTGGCCAAACACAAACTATTTTTTTCTTCAAAAGTGCTTTTGGAAAAAGTACTTCTGAAAAAAATACTTTTTAAAATAAGCAGATTTTGACAGCTTGGCCAAACATGCTCTTAAACAGATAAAAAGAAATCACTTAATAATTTTTGTCTCTATTTGAATTTGAACTATAGTCTACAATATTTTACTCCGTATTATTGATCCCTAGGCCACAACGTTACGTGCCGGGCAACACCACCTTAAAATATTGTACGAGTTCGACCAAACAAAAAATTGTATGTCCAACATGTTTGGCCAAGATACCACTGAAAGTTTCTTATCCACTAAGAGCAATTTTGATTTAGTGCATGAAAAAACCAGCTAGCTACTACTGGTTAAATACATCTTGGGTAAGTTATCTACCAATAGTCTCTAGGGCATTCATGATTAGTTTATTTGATGCTGAGTTTTTCAAACAAATGAATATGACTAATTAACCACCCTGACCCCTATTCTTCATCAGTTTCTGGACACTAGCAAAAGGAACTATGAAAAGAAAACTGCAACGGCATTGAAAGGGCAGTCCGAGTCCGGTGCACAAAACATTCCGTATTCACGGTCCTAGAAAGGACCGCTCTCCAAGGGGGTGTGATGTAGGCAGCCTACCTCGATACAAACATCAGTGGTTGATTCCACGGCTCGAATACGTGACCTATATGTCACACGAAGACAATTTGATCGTTGCTCCAAGGCTCCCCTTAAAAAAACTGCAACGGCATGACAAAATATAATAGCCACCAAAGCTAGTTGAGGTGCATGTAAGCTGACGTGAAGACCACCATTATAAAACGATAATAATAACAATAATAAAGATGACAACCACCTAAGCTTATATATCCAAAGCTCCAAGTATTGAAACTTCTAGCGCGTAATGCATACACTATCTTAAAAACCTCAAACCTCAAATTATTCTAGATAAGAAGTTCTCATCACAAGTTCTAAAAAGCTGACTCATGACTTGGTTTCTGTGGGGTAAGTTTTGCCAATAGCGCTTTATTGTGACAATGCTCGGCATCAACAAAGTAGAAGTTTCCATTAGCCTTGAATGTTACGAAAGGTCTATTGGTTTCAGGAGGCCTGATATCGGAAAACTTAATCGTCTTTGGAATATAAGTTGCCAGCCAAGACATCATCTCCACTTCAAAAGAATCTGAACCTGGTTTCCACCTCAGTTTGTGAATATAAGGACTCACAAACCAGTGAAGCGCAGCGGTAGTAGAAGCACTGAAGACTATAACAGTACACGCAACTGCTCCCTTTAGTACCACATTCGAATCAGTAGACGTCATGAAGGTTATGACGGGGCCTAAAGATACAGAGAGGCAACAGGTTGAAAGGGAGAGAAGCTTCACTTTCTTGATCGTGTTCGAGATAGGACCATAGTACACAACTCCACCATCCTTTTCATCATTTCCAGCTTCTCCTCCTTTGCGAGGCCCTATGCTGATCTTGTTGTCCTCTTGTGTTGTTGCGGACTGAGATAGCCACCTTTTATGGACAGCAGCTGGCTGCGTCGCACAATTAAGGTCTGTTTTGGTACCACCGACAAGTGGCCAAGTTCCATAACTAGTATGACCACCTGAGAAAGTAATGGGGAACAACAAGCGGACGAGCACAATCATCATGAACAAGTCAACAAACAGATAGAGTAAATAAAACGAGAGGCAGAAACGGATGGGATGTTGCAGCAAGGTTTACAAAAATTTAGTAAACAATTTGATCTAAAAATTTGACAGATAAAGGGCAGCCTGTTGCACAAGGTATCTCGCGTTCACGCACGGTCCGGGAAAGGGCCGCACCATAAGGGGTGTGATGTAGACAGCTTACCCTAATGTAAGCATTAGTAGCTGCTTCCACAGCTCGAACCCGTGACCTATAGGTTATATGGAGACAACTTTACCGTTGCTTCAAGGCTCCCCTTCAAGCAGGGGAGACAACTTTACCATTTTATTTACTCTATCTGTTTGATATTCTAACATAAACAGAGATGCTGAAAATAAAAATTCACCAAGGAATGGTATGATAAAAGTGAAGAAAGGCCAAAATATACAATTTCATCACAAGAAAAGGCCAGAAAGAAAAGGAGCAAAGTCCAGCATTTGACAACCAGAAAGCAGAAAATTTAGCGTAGGAATAAAAATAAGTTAGAATTAGGGCTGAGAATCTACAATAATAAACTTCAGTAAACCAGAAGTTCCATTTATAGCTATTCCAAGTTTCACCTCAAAGAATCATGCTTTCCTTTCCGCAAATATGTTTCTTGAGAAATTTAGTGTCAAATATGAATATCATCAGGTAATACTCATGATCCTTCACAATTCCGAAATCCTAAAATGCGGAAGTAAAAGACTAGCGCATTTATTAAATGCAAAAACTGGAGTCATCAAACCAATTTCAATAGGAGGGCACAAAAAGATACAGAAGTAGTGGTAGCCTCGCTCAGTAGATCAGTAAATAAAAAGTTGTTACTTTCTCTCTTCAAAAACCTTAGAGCTATAAAAGCCCAATGACTTCATCTGTACTCAGGGACGAATGTAGCGCATAAGTTATGGGTTCATCCAGGTTCAATAGTTTTGGCTTGGATCACATATCTATTAAAACATTCACTAAATAAGTAATAATTGATTTTGAACCTAGTAAATCAAATGGTAGAACCTTGAACCCGAACCCGAACCTGAATCCATAAAATTTAAATCCTGAATTCTGTACTGACCCTGAAAGACATATTCCTGTCTGCTGAATTAAGCGTAATCCATTTCTCTTCTTATGAACATCAAACAAGGTGACCAATAAGGTAGTGGGGAACATCAAATATAATTTGAAACTTCTTAATTATGTAACCATGTGTATATAATTCGAGTTGAAAACATGCTGAAGGATACAGTGGCAATATACAGTAATTCTACAAGATTAACAGAATGGTGTTTCTTGCATACATTTTCTTTCCCTAGTGACCAACTATACATATAGACACAAAAAACTTATATAGAAGGGGGCAATTATACAGAAATGAAACTGGTAAAAAGAGCTAGAAGAGGATTAAACACAAAACCTGACTGGAAATTCATGGATTTTAGAGGATTCGCTTGAGATCGAACCAAGTGAAAAAGGACTCCTCTTGCCATTGTTCAATTCTGATGCAAAACCCACAACAGGGGATGTAGGAAGGGTTTTTGGGTTCTTTTGTCAGATAAAATAGCGACGGTTTGTGAACGTGAAAAGCAGCTGGGCATTTGGTCTAGTGGTATGATTCTCGCTTAGGGTGCGAGAGGTCCCGAGTTCAATTCTCGGAATGCCCCTTCATTCTTTTGACGATCCAATTTCTTTCATATTTTCTGATCCTAATTTCTTTTTATTATGGTGATATCCTAATTTGACTCTGCTCTTTTGGGTAGGGGTAAGATCTGAGTACACATTACCCTCCCCAGACCCAGTAATGAGATTTTACTGGATTGTTGTTGTTGTAAGAATTATCATCTAGTGTTTTTTTGGTATTTGAATCTTCGTTTTCAATCCTCCCATATTTTTCACCCTCTTCGATGATCTAGGTCACATTTTGGATTTTTTTGCTGCATTTTATATGATAATATTTGATAGAATAAAGTTTAAGATGTTGTGTTGCATTATATCTTATGGTAATAAAGAAAGTAAAATTAGCATACTTTCATTTCTTTCATTTTTCTCTTTATTTTGTATTATAAGATAATGGTTGAGAGTAAAAAGGTTAAGATATGAAATATGATTTTACCTTATATTCGTGGTACTAGAGGAGTAGTAAAAAATAATAAGTTAAATAACCAAACATTTGGTATTTTAAAGGCAAATGAAAGGCGAAATACATAAACAACCCCTCCAAGTTGTCCACAACGGTCAGTTGAACACCTCAACTGAGACCTTTTTCACGTAAACATACCACGTGTTTAAAAACTGAACTCAATAAACACCCAACCTCACCAGCCCCCGTCGCGTGTGTTACACCTCCGGTGTCTTTTATAAGAACGAATTAGAAGCTGACACATGGAAAAACAATAAGAAATAAATAATTAAATACATAAAACATAAAGGTAAATTTTCATCGTTTCTTCCGTCTAATCTCTCTCTCTCTCTCTCTCTCTCTCTCTCTCTCTCTCTCTCTCTCTCTCTCTCTCACCGAATAACCCATCTTCATCTCTTCAAAGGTGAATTGTTAGTGGTTATTTTCTAAAGGGAGCTTGCAAAGGTGAATTGTTAGTGGCTGTTGGAAAAAATGAAAACAATCAGATGTATCCCATTGCTTGGGCTTTGGTAGATCAAGAGACTACACATTCATGGAGTTGGTTCATCAACTATCTCAAAATAGATTTAGAGTTGAGGAATGGTGAAGATTTAACAGTAATGTCTGATATGCAAAAGGTACTGTAATCCATTTATTATGTTGTTTGTTTCTTACCATTATTATTTTTACTGATATTGTATCTCACTAATATTCTATGTTGTTGTTGTATTGATTAGGGACTGTCATCTGTTGTTGCTGATTTGCTACCCCTTGCTGAAAGAAGAATGTGTGCAAGACACATTTGGGCAAACTGGTAGAAAACTTGGAGGGGAGAGGAAAGAAGGGAGCAGTTTTGGAAATGTGCTAAGGCTCATTTTCAGGTAAAGTTAAGAGAAGAAATAAAGAAATTGGATGAATTAGGAAATGGTATTTGTGAAAGTTTACTATCCTATGATAAAAAATACTGGTGTAGGGCATATTTCAATAAGAATGTTAGATGTGATATTGTAGAAAACAACATGTGTGAAACATTTAATTCCTGAATTTTAAGTCCTAGGCATAAATCTGTCATCACTATGCTTGAAGAAATTAGGCACAAAATGATGAGTAGGCAAGTTGATATGATCAAGTTTGCTGAAATATGGGCTTTGATATATCACCTATGGTAAGGCTAGTCTTAGAGGAGAACAAGGAAATAGGAAGGAAGTTGAAAGTACAGTGGAATGTTGACACTAGATTTGAAGTGAATAAAGGCATGTATAGGCACACTGTTGATATACAAAAAAGAGAATGCGCCTGCAGATTATGGCAGTTAAGAGGTATACCATGTCAACATGTAATATGTGTCTTTTATAAGTTTGGGAAGGAAGCAGAAGACTATGCTGAACACTGGTATAGGAAAGATACTTTCCTGGTTGCTTACCGATACTATATTCAGCCAATTCCAAGCATACAAATGTGGGCTGAGTCTATCAATCCATCAATTGAGCCTCCTGAAGTTAAACCAATGCCCGGTAGGCCAAAAAAATACAGAAGAAATGACAAGGATAAACCAAAAAAGTGGGAAAAACTGTCAAAGAAGGGTGCTAAGACGTCCTGTTCAATTTGTCATCAAGTTGGTCACAACAAGTCAGTATGCAGTTTAAGGGTAAGTTTGATGACTTTCAATTTAATTTGTTTCCATTATTGTCATTGTTTTCATAGTAGTTTGATTAATGACTTAGCAATCATATACTAGGGACAAACAAGCACACAATCAAGCACACAAGTTGGTAGTCAAAGTAATACAACCCAAGCTGCAGGTACATCAACTACCACAATCCAAACTCCAAGGGCCTCATCTTCCTTGTGCGCTGAAACATCAAAGATAAGAAGGAACACACCATCAGTAAGAGGTAGGGGAAGAGATGGTGGAACTGGTAGGGGAAGAGGTGGAGGAGCTGGTAGGGGAAGAGGTAGAAGTTCAGTTGCCGGTACAACTGGTTCTGTTACATCTGGTTCTGCTACTGCCAGATCACTTGCTGCTTCTATTGGGAAGAAAAGAACCAGAAATTCTGGTTTTGGTTTGTACACAGACACACAAATAGGGACTAGTATCCTTAATGTAAGTGTGAGAAGTCAATATTAGTTAACTGTAATTTCTATCCTTATGCTTCTAGATGATTCATTATTGACTATAAGTATTTTCTAGCCTGGTAGGCCAAGTGAAAGAGTCATTTCAACTAGTGCAAACTTGATGAATGCTGCACAAACTAATGTAGATCTTGGATTTAGACCAAATGGTCTCAAGTGGAAAGGGAAAAGAGTTGTGACAGAGAATCAACTTCAAAAGCAAAGGGATGCTGCAGTTTCTAACAAAAAGATGAAAGTTGAAACCTCTACTTCATCTACACCAGTTGACTCTTGTCAAAGTCAAATTTAGGAAGAATTTTCTTGTATTTTGTTGGTCATGTGTATGAACCATATTTTGTGAAGTATTTTGAACCTACTAATGTTGGTCATTTGGTCATATGTATGAACCTTGTTTTGTGAAGTATTCTGAACCATTATTATGGGATGTATATGAACCTGCTTTTGTTAGTTTAGTACATTTCAGATTATTGAACCTGCTTTTGTTGGCAGTATAATTTATTGCTATTATGAGATCGAATTAGTCCACTTTTGCTTCAGCTGTCTAATTTTTTTGCAGAAACTAAAACACATTTGATCATTTGAAAAGTTCATCATACACATTGAAACTTTCAACTACATTGAATAGGAAACATTGCCATAAATCATAAACAACATTGCAGTAAAATAAAGGCGAAATACATTCTCATATACATATACCATACACCTAAATAATAGAAGATTCCCTCAAAAACCAAGTCACAATTACAATAACAAGTAGCCAAATCAAAATCCTCTGTTTCTTCATCAACTTCAACTTTTCTTCTTCATGATTTTTTACCCTCTTTAATAATCCATACATGAATTTGGTATAGTGTTCGGACAATTCAACATCATACTAACGAAAAAAATTGCATCCAGCATTGCCAGCTTTCCCAAATCTATAGCAATAAAATCTTCTACCCGGATTAAATGGTGACCACGAAAGTTTTAAAGTAGCAATTTGGCCACAGTTGCAATTAACAGGTTCCATTAAAATAGAAGAGGTAGAGAGAGAAGAAAAGAAATTTTGCTGCTTTGCTAAAGAGGAAGAAGATATACGCGGCTGGGTAGATACATTTTTAAGGTTGAATTTGGGTATTTAAATTAGGGAGTTCATTATGTGTCTTTTTGGAATTTCACAAAAAAACTGTTATTTTACCGTTGTAATTACCTACACACGCGCGATTCCGGAAGTGTAACACATGCGACGGGGGCTGGTGATGTCGGGTATTTATTGAGTTCAGTTTTTAAATATGTAATATGTTTAAGTGAAAAGGGTCTCAATTGAGGTGTTTAACTGACCGTTGTGGATAACTTGGATGGGCTGTTTATGTATTTCGCCCAAATAAAATTGTCAACTACATATAATTAGCTTTTACTACCAATAAGTTCATACACATCCTTTGATTTGACTGAGCATAAAATTTAAGAAAGAAATAAATTCAAAATTTTTGGTCTAGGCATTTATATTGCTATAAATTATTTTATTATGTTTAAAAATAAATTGTTTAAAGATAATATTTTTTCTAGACCAGACTAAAATAAGAACTAGAAATAACTATACTACACAACTACAAGAAAATTTTATGCTATAAAAATTTATACGTCTTTTGTACTTACAGTTATCACGCAGTTGTGGCGAAGGGATTGTAAGAAAAATGAGTAGATAATATTAACAAGGAAAAAATGAAAACAATAACAACTTATCGATAAATACTGTGTCGTGGCAAGTCACTGCCTTGAAAGCGATTTCGATCCGACTGAGTGCAAATCGTTAAGACCTGTCGCTCCCCAAGGTTCCACAGCACCTCCAAACACGTGCACTCATGGTTGGACGTTTGGAATTTGCACAAAACAATTGCCCAGAATTTGGTTGAAAACAGTTCCTAATATAAATAAGATGTTATAGCTATTACAAGAAGGAGAATTTAATTTGGGGGTTATGAAATAAACAGTTGCTACAGAATTCAAGTAAAGTAGCAAATAACGTTACAAATTCATTCCAAAAGAGAATGAATTCGGACATATAAGTAAGCTAAACAAATGAAGAAATAAATTTTAGCAAAATCAGATTTGATTTAGGCCTCACGTATATCTCTCGCGCGCGTGCGAGGGGGAGGGGGAGGGAAGGGGGGCAAATCGACCTGTTTTGCCTTTCGGACCAATTTCTCATGTGCGCGAGACCACTCCCTTTTACTAGCTCTTTACAAGCCTAACAAAGAACAATTCAATATAAAGAGAAGGAAATGGCATTCCACAACCAATGAGGGACACATTGTCTTTCACAAAAGACAAATAAGTAAAAAAGGAAAAGGGACAACCCTAAAATCTTTGGCTTTGCATTATCAAGATTAATAATACCAACAGGGATAGTGTAATATTTAGTTTGTAACAACTTACATT